AAAAAAATAAAAAAAAAAGCTGCTCAATGTCCACAGAGAAAACAGCCTGCTGTGTAATGGGACGCTGCATTTTTATGTTTCATTACGACTTTTTTAAGAATGAAATTTGTTGGGAGGACAATTGTACTCTATCTTGGTTTTTAAGGGATGTGCTGCACAATAAAGGCTTTTAAATGATGAGCAATGGAAGTGGGACATCCTGGAGTCTGTGCCCAGCAGAGATGAGGGAAGGAGGTGTTGCAGAAAAATGTGTTACAGCTCAGTTGTGACAGCAACCTGAGTCCGGGTGAGAGACCTGAGTTCTCCAACTCTCACTGGGAAAGTTGGAGAACTCAGGTTTATTGCCAGTGGGCCCATAGGAATTAACATTCCAAGCTCTGGACTCCATCTGTAGGTTTACACAGGCTTTTATAGGCTGCCAGTTTACACTTTACAACATCATATGCAAATAAGGTGTAACAAAAGTTGACTAATTAGGAACAAGCTTTGTAGAAATGAGCCAATCAGGAGGGAGAGAAATAACCAATCAGGAGTGAGCTCCATGCAAAGGACGTACTACAAATGGACCAATCAGGAGTCAGCTTAGGGAACCAATAGAGTTTAAGGGGTAAGTTCCACTTTCCTAGAAGTAAACCCTTTCAGAGGCAAAAAGTGAGATACAGCTGCTGGGTCAGGGAACCGGATGGTGCTGGCAGGAGAGTAGTGGCCCTGCCTGGGGGTCCTGCTGGTCTTTTTTATTGGGCTTCCCACCTCAGAGGGAGGAAGAGGACGGGGAGGAGGAGGAGGGCATCGGCACATACCCACTCCCATCCGCAGCACGTTATTCTGCCCACGCAGAGATACCTTGGTTCCCGTGGAGTGGCCACAACAGGGAGAGATTCCAGATCAGTCCGCTGTGGACCCCAGGTGGTTCTGGGGAAGGTGGTGATGAACTCTGAGGGCGGCTGTGGGCCACGATCGATTCTATGAGGAGGTGGGTGCTGTGGGGGCCTCAGACTTCAGGACTTAACGAACTTCAGTGGGTCATTCCCGCGCACGGGTCCAGGGATTAGAAGGCGCTCAGGCTCCAACCCCAGGCCCTCTGAATCACACCAGTGGGCTTCCGTCTGCGTGAGTGTGGGTTCCACACGTGAGCCTGCTGTGCAGCCAGCTCTCAGGGT